TTCCATATCAAGTGGAGGTTTCCTGTGAAGATTTAAGGGTCATTCTAACTCATTCAAGTCGGATAGTGGACTTGTCATTGCCATGTACTGTGTTTCATAGTTCAGTGCCAGAAATAGACTGCATATTTGCACAAACTAACTTCCGGAATTTAGATTTTTTAAACTTGAGTGAATCTCCTATTTCAACTTTATGCTTTCTATTAAGTTCTCCAAACTTAACAATTATAAAAATGTATAGATCTTTCCGACTGTAATCTTCTGGTTGGTGAAAATTTCAAGGTGCTTGATAAATGTGTTCATACTGAGAAATTATACCTCAAACAATGCACTGCACAATCAACCCTTGCAAAATATGTTTTAATAAACCAATGATCACTGTAGATGCCTGTTATGTTCCAATTGACATTAAACATTGTAAAAGCATACTGCAAAACGTGCACGGGCATTTAGTTTATTTAAATATAACCTTGCACAGCTCCATTAGTGAAATTGGATTTAAAGATCATATCTTAAACTGTTTTCTTGACACGTATATCAAACTTTATATACATGAGTAGGTTGAATCTACGAGAAGCCCTCAATCTTCTAGATGAATATGACAGTGATATTGATAGTGACTATGTAGATTCTCAGCACCATCTTACAAATACTGATACTGATGTAAATTTTGAAGCCAATCATGATATTTTTACAAAACACTTGTATGATATGGATGCATTACCAACCTCGTTTGTTGAAGAAATTAAGAGCACTGATAACACTCTTGAGATAGATAACATAACAGAACCATATAGAAACATTAGTGATATATGATTTATAGTACAAATGTTGCAACTGTAACAACAGATGAAGAAACCACACACAAGTCTGGTCAAATGCAAGAGGAGAAATCAAATGAAATTCCACATGAAGCACATTCTATTCATTTTATTGACACAGTTTCAGATACAAGAGTAAAACATAGTTTTCCCCCAACCCAATGTTGATTCAGATAACAATAATATGGTTACAATCCACTTATATGATGCAAATTTATTGTCCCCGTCTTTTGTTGAAGAAATGGTAAAAGCGGGTAAAATCCTGGAAATAAGTGTCGAAGATACATAAATTGATATAAATAATAATGATAACTGTAGCTCTGGAACAGAAGAAGCAATAATGAGAACAGAAACTACTAGTAATACATACAATGATGAAGATGAGATTACTGACAATAATGCAGATACAGTTGAATAAGATGTTCCAAGGAATGAAGAATCTAAGAGAAGTAGAAAAATATTAAAAGACACGAGCAGAGGGCAAATAGAAATAAGAAAACGTAGACGTCAAGCAGGAAAGGCTTATGTAAGTTCTAGAGGAAAACAAATGCAGAAGAAAGTAAGCAAAATTCATAAAGACTGTAAAGGGAATTGCAGATACAAATGCGCAAAAATATTCAACAGCGATGATGTGGTAAATCTACATACTGAATTCTTGTTGACTCTAAATGATGATCAAAATACATACATTATGCAAAAAGAACAGAAAGAGTTACAAAGCTAAGTCACATGCAAAATTCTAGAAGTACACATTTCTCTATTTTGTTAACAGGGTGAAAAATATCGTGTGTGTTAGGACTTTTATTTTGGTGTTCTGGGTGTTGACGACAGTCGCGTCAGAAATTATGACAGTAAAATAGATAAAGGAGATGGTACACAATACAGGGAATGCGCGGGCGATCTACGAGACAGTTGACGTCTTAGCATGATATAAACTTTGTAATTGAGCACATATCATCATTTATCAGAGTTCCTTCTCATTAATGTCGGAGTCAGAGCCAAAATGAATATCTTGAAGGTGGACAATCAGTTACAAAAATGTACGAGATGTACACAGAGAAATGTATAGAAAACCGCATGAAAGTTTTAAAGTTATCTATGTATAGAAAAATATTTAACACAAATTTCAATATATCATTTCATATTCCTAAAAATGATTGGTGTGATCTTTGTGAAAAAAATGAACATAAAAGAAAAAGATGGCATGACAGATTATTTGTTTAAGACAAAGTATAAACATCACATCACCGACAATGAAGCAACGTAAACGTGAACGAGATATAGACAGACATGAATATCATGGTAATATAACCGCTGTCATTTGTTTTGACTTACAGAATGTTATTACGCTGCCCCGAGCAGATTTGAAAATCTTTTTTACATAAGGAAATTAAATGTTTTCAATTTAACTGCACATTGTTCAATTGACAAAGACGTTTATAATGCCTTGTGGGTAGAAGCTGACACCGGTAGAGGGGCAAACGAAATAGCTAGCTCCTTAATTTGTATTGTAAACGAAATAAAATGGAAACATCCAATATCCAGTCTTATATTTTGTAGTCTGATTCTTGCGTCCTGCAAAATAGAAATTCGGCAATGACATTTGCACTAAAAAGATTTATGATAGATAATGATATTCATAACATTACACAGAAATTCTGTTGCCCAGGTCATTCGCAGATACAAGAGGTACATAATGTACATAGAAGTATAGAAAAGGTATTGAAAGTGAAAGAAGTTTACAGTCCGATGTCGCTTGTTCGTGCTCTAAAATGTGTGAGGCGTAAAACACCCTTTGAAATCATCCAGATGCGTAAACATCATTTTTACGATTTTCAAAAAGCGATAAACGGTTTAAAGTTTGTCAACATGCCATACACTAAGGTAAAGTGCTTAAGATATGAAAAAGAAAATCACTTTGACATTCAGTTTAAAACAGATTTCACCGGTACTGAATTTAAAACCGGAACTGTGTTTCGAAAAATGTTGACATGCACAAGCATGTCATGTACTTACCTTGCTGTTCCAAATCAGTTGAAAAAGTGTCCAATCATATCACTTGAAAAGAGGAAAGGTCTGGAAAGTATGTTAGACTATATGCGTACTATTGATGTACAATACTACAAGGCCATGAAAGTGTGTGTGTAGAAAAAAGTGCTACAGTAGACTGCGCAACACCCAAAGAAGGACACACCCATAAATAGAAAATTATAGGAATATTGCGATAAGACGGACAAACGCTTACGTAGTAATATTCTATATAAAACATTAGATAACTATAAACAGTAGTTCTTCACATTGAAGCGTTATATGTTTTTGTTGTTGCTTGTCTCAACCAATGTTATTAATATATATGATGATATACAAGACATTCTAGAATAGATAAGAAGTTTGGTAGATAATATTTTAAATCATATCCGAAAACTGTGAAACATATTATTCTTATTATCTGCTTTACAAACTTAGTTTTGTATTTCTAAGCGTACAGTATACAATGTAGTTGAATAACAATACATTTACCACGTACAAAAAGGCATGTTGTATTTTAACTTTATTTTATATGTTCGTTACATTGTTTTAAAACTAGTTGTTTGTAACTAGTTTACGGTTTCACGTGAGATAAAATGCAAAATAGCATTTAAATAGTGGACAGATTTTTTATTATACAGTATAATGAGCATATTAATAAAATGTTTTCAAGGGCATAATCTTTAAATTACAGTTAATTTTATTTTAAGAGTTAAACTGTTAAATTTTCATTTTATAAAGGTTTGTCAAGCAGGCGTATTTTGTATTTTGAAAAAGTGTATAAAATTAAATAAAAAAATACTTGGAAATCATTCTTAATTATCTTTTTCTAGCCGAATATTGAGACACTTCGTTACTTTTGCCTTCAATGTTTCATCAATAATCCCGTAACACTATAAATGCTTTCAGAAATAACAGATTGTTTCCTAAATATCTTGCGCAAAAACCCGTATCTCCATATGGGCTTTAGAACTAAGAATATACATGTGTTTTCTTATTAACGACGAAATTCGGAAACAATAATTTTAAGATTTCAGCTTTATGTTTTTATATATAATTACAAAATTTGGTATACAAGTAGATTATACAGTTTTACAAATACACAGTGAATTTCTTTTATATGTTTCAAACCATAACAAAGTTATTACAGTTCAAAGTTTCAAATGCGATTTTCTCAAAATAAGAAAAAAATGACATACGGGTTTGTAGAATTAAGCCAACGCAGGGTGATCCAGGTTTTGACCCCAAATGCATGATTTATATAAATTTTGTAGAATGCTACATGCAAAATATCTAAGTTTTGGGCATTGCATTTTTAGACAAGATTTTAAAGACATTTTTACTTCATAGCAAGTCTATGAGCTAAGTGACCCCCATCAAGGGCAGGGCCGTTTTTGACCCAAAGGGAAGGACTTACATACCTTTTTTATAGATGCCCACTAGCAATGTTTCATACAAATTCATTGGGCTATGTAATTTCAGAGATTTTTGAGACATTTTTCTTTACAAGTTTATGTAAAATATGTGACACCCCAGGATGGGACCATTTTTGACCCCATAGGCATGGCTAATGTAACTTTTGTAAAGGTTTACTATGCCAAATATCTGAATTCTTGACATTGTAGTTTCACAAAAGAAGACTTAATGTATTTTCCTTTACAAGTCTATATAAGGTGACCTCAATGTCAGGCCCGATTTTGACTCCATTTATAAGAGCTCAAATTGATGCTACATGCCAAATATCTAAGATATTCGCATTGTAGTTTCTGAGAATTAGTCTTTTACGTAGCCTAAAAGTGATGCTACATGCCAAATATCTGATATCTTGGCATTGTAGTTTCTGAGCATATTTTAAGTTATTTCTACAATTACATTGTATACAAGTCTTATATAAATAAAGTAACCCGCTTGGTACAGCCAGTTTAAACATCCTGCAACAACGGCAGCAGCCAGAGAAACTGTTTCTCAGTTAAATTAATATATGTACAACTGCGTGCACACATTTATGCAAGAATAACCCAAATAAAAATATTGAGAAATTTTCAAAATTTATTTCAAACATCATTTTATCATTATGAAGTTGATAAATGAAAAACAAAACAATCACAAATTGCAACAATTTAAATTATTTACAATTAATTTTTTTATACATACATACATACATACATACATACATACATACATACATAGTAAAATTGGAACCTTTTAAGGTCACTTAGAAAGCACATGTATCTTTATAACTTACAATTCATGCAAATGTACACACTAAATACATATATTTTCTAAATTCTCTAATTCACTTATTATTCATAATCTTAGACATCATGAAGTGATATGGTTTATTTTTAAATTTTTTTTGGCATCATTCAAACTTTACCATTAACCTCCTGAATTTCTTAAATGGACATTACCAGCTTCCGTTTGAGTTATTGACTATTATACATTTTTGGGTATATCAAGAAAAAATAATTGAAGCTTGTCAGACAACAGTATTGCGCCTGACCAGACTGTGTTGATGTGCAGGCTGGCCTAGCCCTATACTGGTGACAAAGGTTAATCACTTACAGCTTCAGGTACGTGTAGGTAAGGTTTAACAAAATTAGATTATAATTACATCAGGTCCAAAGTAAAGCCACTCTATCCAAGCTGGCTATAAAAGTATCAAAATTTTGGCCTTCGGCTGGAAGGAAAGATGTACAGAAAAGAAACATGTGATTACAATAGTGAAAGTTTGTTTGTATGGGTTTTTTTTGGCCAATTTTGATACATTATTATTTTTGATGATATCCCCCTATCCGGCTTTCCTGGATAACTAACCAGGAATTACAAATATTTCCCTTTGTGAGTACTTATTCCACGAGTTTCTGACTCAGCAATGAGAGACAAATGACCATTAGACTCAATGTCTCGAGATCAATTGCTAAGAAATTTCGCCTAGCCAGAGGATGGAAGCAATGCTCTCCCCATTGAGCTAAGCAAACGGACTCATTACAATAAAATATTAAAAATATAAATAAAAGATAACAATATCATAAACAACCATTGCATTATCGAGCAATCTACATGCCGTGAATCAGAATTTTTTTAAACAAAAATAGTAATCTGTAATGAAGAACAATGAAATCACAACATCATTCAAGCAGTTTTTCTATCATACCAACATATTCTTTTTTAATTTTTGATGATAGGTTCGGTTCCTTGATTAAATTAAAGGTGATGTCAAAACCTTTTATCTATCCATTCTGTTGACTGGAAATCAATCTTTCATGTAATTTTTTAATAATTCTTTGATTCTATCCCGAACCATTTCAAAGTCATCAACCCTGGGAATCTGAAAGAAAAAATAACAATTTACAAAATAAAATAAGGAAAAGAAAGTTCAACAAGAGGGCCCTGAATTGGGCTCACCATAGAAATTGGTCAAAAGGTCAAGGTATAGCCCCTTTTCACCCCAGAAGCACAATTAGAAAAGTGGGACAGCTAAATCTGAAAAAAATTGTACACTGACACCAAGGAAATTTTTGTGTAACATTATTTTAAAACTGAAATAAGAGGGTGCTTAACTGTGGTTAAGATGTTGTTTGGATGTAGTTGTTTTCCATTTTTAACTCTGGCAGCCATTTTATTAAACAGTTAAACCTGTCACTAAGTGAGAGGTGAGCTAATAAAAAGATGATAGAAAAAGAGAGGAAAAACAAACATTTGACCTAGCTGGGGATTGAACTGTCGACCTCGAATCCCTGGGACAGGGCAATTTTGACCCCAGCGGTTTTATTTCAACAAACATGATTGACATTCACTAGAACATGTTTTATGTCAAATATCAAAGTTTTTAGGTCTTAAGGATTTCCACAAGACGATTTTTTAAAATGTGTTTACGATATACATGTATATAGAAGGAAAATCTATTATCCCTGTGGCGGGGTCAATTTTGATTCTAGGGCATTTATTTGAACAAACTTGGTAGACATCATCTAGAAGATGTTTCATGCCAAATATCTAAGCTCTACCTTTTTTGGATTTTCACAAGAATTTTTTTTAGTTTTTTACTATATACATATTTGGAAAATATATGACCCCTGGGGCGGGGCAAATTTTGACCCTAAGGCTTTTATTAGAAAAAAAACTTGGTAGACATCCACTAGAAAATTTTGTATGTCAAATATCTAAGCTCTAGCTCTTTGGGATTGTCACAAGGAGATTGATTTTAGTTTTTACTATATACATATAAGGAATATCAATGACCCCTGGGGCGGGGCCAATTTTGATCCTAGGGCATTTATTTTAATAAACTTGGTAGACATCCACTAGAAGATGTTTCATGCAAATTATCTTATCTATAGTGCCTTTGGATTGTCACAAGAATATTTTTTTAGGTTTTTACTATATATATTAAAGGAAAATCAATGACCCCCTGAGGCGGGCCAATTTGACCCTAGGGATTTTATTTGATCAAACATGGTAGAAATCTACTAGAAGATGTTTCATGCCAAATATCTAAGCTCTACCTCTTTTAGATTTTCACAGGAGATTTTTTTTAAAGTTTTTATTATATACATATAAGGAAATCAATGACCCCTGGGGCGGGACCAATTTTGACCTCAGGACTTTTATTTGAACAAACTTGGTAGACATCTACTAGAAGATTTTTCATGCCAAATATCTAAGCTGTATCTCTTTCGGTTTTTTATAAGACGATTTTTAAGAGTTAAAAGAAAAATAGGTTGCCATGGCAACCAGAGTTCTTTATGGAATTTAATTCTTTGGACAAATTTGGTAGAGCTTCATGCAAGAAACATCACTGCAAAGTTTCAACAAATTTAGCCACGTGGTTTAGGAGGAGAAGTTGTTTAAAGAAATTGTTGACGCTTACACGGACGGACGAACAAACTGACGGACGGACGATGGCCGACGGACAATTGGCCAACACAAAAGCTCATCATGAGGACATTGTTCTCAGGTGAGCTAAAAACAGAAGTAATCAAACAAAAGCTATCCGGACAGCTTGCTTGAAGATTCAACAGTGATTAACTAACATAAGTAGCTAAACGTTTGTAAGGGAAACATAAATCTAATGATTGTACATGCAGGAGACATTATTTCAGGCACAAATAGGCGCCTACATAGAACCACCAGCGTTCCGTAAGCTTACTAGCTTGACAGCTTCCTCACTTGAAAAAAGTCACTGGTATGATGAAGTTGTTTGAAGCCACTCAGCCACAGAAGTAAAAAAAATCCAACCATGCGAAGTGACATAATCTTTAAAAACAAACACCCTATGCATTCAGTTGAGATATCAGTGTTACAAGTCTTAATTAATTGGTGGAAATTATAAATAGATAAGTTTTCATAGAATTAGACATTTGATTTGAAGTACCTGAAAACCATGTAATTAAAATGAATATGTATTTCATTTATCACATGAAATTGTAATATACAATATAGAAATTTGGCTTTATTAATTTACAAATTGTTTTCTAGCAACGACAATATAATTTTTAGAAACCATTCCCGAAAACGATGTTTAAGTTTGAGTGTTGGAAAGTAGAACACGAACATATAAGGAAGAATTAACCCACTGACATCGCAAAAAAAGTATTTTGATTTAATTATGTATGGGGAAATATCTCACAACATCGCATTAAAAATATCACAAATTAGTGAAAAAAAAATGTTTAGAATTTGTCCAAATATAAACTTTTATGAAGTTTACTCAAAGTTAAAGACCTGTTGACTGCAATATCTCCAAATTAATGGTTTAGTATCTGTTTTAATAGCAATTTTAACACCATTTATCATATCTAGTATATAGGTAGTTGATCCATCTAACTGACTTTCCTGGAGAAACTAACCAGTAATATAATTTCTCCACAAGAGACAAACTTCTTTTCAGACAATATTTCTCAATCAGCAGTGAAAGACAAATATGCTCAAATGAATTTATATCCGCCGCCAAGCACTGGTTATCACTAACACAACAACTGGAGACACAAGGCTTTATTCATTTTTTTATCATAACATAAACAGTAATATTCTTTGTACATGATAAAATTCCAGGGCAATAACAGAGGCCATAACAACTTTGTGTTATAGAGTATTATCTGGACATAGTAATGAGATGCAAATTGTCTTTTTGTATTGATGGTTCCCATAAAGTTGTGTTGAAGTCAATCCAGCAGTTGCAAAGAAATAGTATTATTGGTATATATGCATAATACATAACTAATCAAAAGCCATAACTGTTGAAGAGTCTGACTGGAGCAAGGCGATGATATGCTCATCTCATCTTGGTATTGAAGGTTCCCATAAAGTTTCGTAGAATTCCTGCTAGAAGTTGCAGGGAAATAGCACAGAAACGATTTTTGCCCTATATGCATAATGCATAACTAAGCAAGGGCCATAACTCTGAAGGATCATACTGGAACAAGGCATCAATATGCAGATTTCCTCTTGGTATCGATGGTTCCCATAAAGAATTATTGAATTCCTGCAAGCGGTTGGAAAAAGATAGCACGTAAACAATTACTGCTCTATATGCATACTGCATAACTAATCAAGGGCCATAACTATGTGTTGAAGGGTCCAACCAAAACAAGGCGACGATATGCGCATATCATTTTGGTATTGATGGTTCCCATAAAGTTTACATTGAGTTTCTGCGAAATAGCACAGAAATGATTATTGCTATATATGCAAACTGCATAACTAATCAAGGGCCATAACTCTGTCATAAAGGGTCAGACCCGAACAAGGCACATTATTGCACATCTAATCTTAGTATTAATGGTTCCGATAATGTTTTGTTGAATTCCTGCTAGTAGTTGCAGAGAAAAAGAGCGGAAACGATTATTGCTCTATATGTATATTAAAGGGCCATAACTCTGTGTTCAAGAGTCGAACCCGAACAAGGCAACGATATGCGTATCTCCTTTTGGTATTGATGGTTTTGTTGAATTCAAGCCATTAGTTGCAGAAAACTAGCGCGGAAACGAAATTCGGACGGACGGATGGACAGAAGGACAACGCTAAAACAATATCCCCCTCCCGATTCCATCGGCGGGGTATAATTAAAAAAATGGACGGGGACTGTAAGGAGAGAGTTTAGAATAAGAATCATACCTGATAGTTTTGATCAAGATACATTCCCAAATATATTCCTACTCCAAGCATAAGCTGTAATACAGAAACATACACTTATAATATCTAATCACATAATGATAGATTTCGAGCCAAAATTGGAATAAAAAGTTTTCAAAACATTATTTGTCATGGTTTAAAACCGCATTTAGAAGGTGCAAAACCAACCTAACCAAAAATTTTAACAACATTTGATATGCTTTAAGTTAAAATCAGCATAATTCCAAAAGAGAAAACAGAAAATCTGCCATTATATAGTAGTTTCGAAATCTCTCTAAAAATACAAACAACAGTTTAACAAATCATAATGTTGTTTTTAATGGATACTCAGCATTTCTGCCATCGGTATATACCTTTTTAATTTTTACTTCTGAATTCTTTCATTCTGGTTATTTCTAATACTATATGACGGTAGAGGACAATATTGGCATAAAAGATCAAGGAACACATCAAACACTCAGGGAAATGAATAAATTGCTTTGATTTTGACATTTGCCATAAATTGTGCACAAGAGAGTTATATTTATTTATTACATTATACAAAAATGTATTCAAAATATTTTATGACCAGCATATTTTTTTTATTTGTCTGGATTTTTACGGCACGTCAACACATAACTGGCCATATCGTGCCGAATGCTATAATAGGGTTAAAATGTTATGTAAAACTTTGTAAATAACAATAAAAATGAACCAGTTAGATCCTAAAATACAAGCTTAAGTTTATCTCTTTCAAATAATCAATCATGATGTTTTTTGATGGAATTGTATTAAAGAGTTCTTTGAGTGAATTTACACAATAAAATCTATTACGGGCCTGTAAAAATTCATGACATTCAAGAAGAAAATGCTCAACAGTAAAAATTTCATTATAAGCTACATAGAAAGGGGCATTGTCATTCGTGAGGAGATAAGAATGGTTAATTTTAGTGTGTCCAATTCGGCATCGAAGAAGAACTGTTTGATCATGGCGGTTTGACAGAGATAGAGATGGTGACACATCAAGTGATGGGTTTATATCGTGAAGTTTATTAAAAACGGCATTGTCCCAATTTGCTTTCCATTCAGATGATACAAGTTTATTTATAGCTGGTCTAAAATCGCAAGCAGATAACAATAAGTCAGTTTTTTGAAAATTTAATGATTGTTTAGCTAAAGCATCTACTTTTTCATTTCCTCGTATACCTACATGACTTGGGATCCAATATAATTTAACAGATTTTGTTTTAAGTATATCATGAAATCGTAAAAGAAGTTTCCTTATCATGATATTGCCAGATTTTTTATTTTGAATGGATATTAAAACAGAAAGCGAGTCAGAAAATATCACAAATTTATCATGGGTATGCTGTTCTATATATGACAATGCTAAATCTATAGCTTTTGCTTCAGCTGTAAAAATTGATACATTATCTGGTAACCTCATACTAGATGTAAAATTATTTTTAAACACAGCCGCACCTACTTTGCTATTGATTTAAACTTCAGCTTGAAGTACATATACAGTTAAACTTTGTTCGCTCGAACTCGGAACACTCTAATACCTCCATTCGCTCGAACTCATCGACTATATATGAAATAGAGCTATTAGCCTATAGCAGCCTACACATGGACCTACCATGAAATTACGATCTAAAAAGTTACTGGATCTTAGGAGTGTACAGGCGACCATGTTGAATTAATGTGTTTTTTTTCTATTTATATATGCTACTGCATTAGTAACTCAGTAGATTATGCAAAGAAAACACGTGACAGTGTTTAACTGACAATTTTGTCAACTGTCTTTCTTGAATTAAGAGATCAGTTATAATGGATTTACGAATTACAAGATAAGATTTACAAGACAAGACTTTACTGTTCACTTAAAATGTTATATCATTTTTTTTCATTTTACCATCTAGAAATCTGTTGGTTTAAATTTCATTTATTAAAAGCTTGACCAGTCATTTCCTGGCGCTTAACATTTTACAGTACTTTCTGGTGTCAACCTAATTCTTGAATATGAGTTGTTCTGGTATATGAATTGTTCTGCAATATGAATTGAGCTCAATAATTCTTACTAGATCAGGATTATGCCAGTTGTGGAAGCTCCAAGAATTATCCATCTTGTCTAGTAAAATCCATTAGACATAACCTCACTTTTTAGTTAACGTTATCAACATTTTATAATTTCTAATATTGATCAGCAATCTCATATGATTACATCCTTGTAAATAATGACTCATTTGATCTCTTATCAAATCCTATTTGTCCTGCAGTATAATTACGTAACACAGCAGTCTCTGGTATATAATAATGACATTTAAATGACCAGCCCCTCAAAAGAATCTTTTTCAAATTAGATCTTTAGAAAAGTTCGGATTCAGGTCTGCCAACTTTCCATCATATTTAACTGTCAACCAAAATTTACACAGCATATACATTGATGAAATATGTAAATATACAACCAATCCTGTTCAATGGTAGAAAAAGTAAAGTTACATATTAATGGAAATCTTACTAGTCCAAACATGATTGTGTCACTCATGATTATGACAGCCTATATGCAATACCAGCACTCCTTGTCACATGTCCCAACTGAAATACAAATAAAACAATAAAACAGATAACCTGAAGGTATAACCTAATTTCCTGGATATTGTAACCGTGATGTCACACAAGTTATTGGTTCAGACTTTCATCAAATGGTACAAAAATCTCGAAAAAATATTTCCAGTCCTGTTGTATCCAGTGGAGTCCCTTTATGATAAGTCTGAACACCATTGGTGTCTATTGTTTAATTATAAACTTTCTGTTACGAGTAAAAAAAATTATCATGTTACACTGGGACAGAACACAATGAGACAAACAACTGGAGGTTTGCCTCTCATTATTTTCCCCACAAAGCATCCATGCCATTTTGACATCTTCAGCATTTTTAAATGTAATCTCTTTGTCTGATGTGAACAGTTTAAACAAGACAAATGTAAAATAATCTAACTGGAGTAACATTTAAACGGTCCTTTTGTTTGTCAATTGTCTTAGTCCAGCTAATAAGACTTGCCTAAGAGACATCAAGATATTGTTTGGGTGATGTCTTTATCCAACAGTTTGACAAAACAGTCTGTAAAATGGTTCAAAACGTTCATTCTGAATTAATGAGGCTAAAATTGTTTTAACACAATGTTATGTAATTAATCTATGATTGTTTCATCATCAGCATTTAAGCACAACACTTAATTATCAATAATCAATTGATTAACTTTCATTTGGACTCAAACAATGAGACCACTTAGTCTACTCGTATCAAGTAAATTAATTGTTTCATGCTTATCCAAATTAATTCTGGCTCAATAAACACACTGCAGAAAACTAGGAACTCTTCCCCTATTCCTCGGGCAAAATGCAAAATCTACTTTACATATGATATCAATAAAATATTAAGGTATCATTATAAAGTTAATAAATATTTCTTCTTATACATGTACCATCCTAAAGATGATTCCATCAATATTTTGTTGGCTGAATCAGGTAGGAAAGTCAAGGTAAATTTATATCAAAATGTTTTTAAGGGTTTTAAGAGATACGGTGATACATATTAATGTTTTAAGAGTTTGCAATCTTTTCTTTATTGATGATTAACTGGTAAATGATCATTTTTCCCTGGCAATTTTCTGGATTAACCCACTACAGATATTTTTTATAACGAGTTAATTTTTCTCTACAGCTAAACAGTCTTTTCAGTGTAGTATAAATATCATGTTTAAACCGGTTGCTGTGCGTCTACAATTTATCTAAGGATGGAAAGAAGATACATGGGCAATAAGCTTAAGTTCGTTATAAACGGGGGAAGGCTTTTAAGTTTACACTTGTATGCCCCCTGAGCAAGGATCAGACTATCAAGAATTAAAAACAGCAGTTTTGAAAAGATACCAATTAACAGAAGACAGTTTCAGAACTAAGTGTAGAGAAAGTATGCCGGACATGGGGAGACTGTGAACCAATTTATGGCTCGCTTAGATATGTATTTCAGTAGGTGGACAGAAATGGCCGACGCTGCAGATACAGTAGACAAATTGAAAGACCTTATTATTAGAGAGCAATTTGCGAAAGTTTGTTTCTCAAGGAACGAAAGCCAAAGGATCGTAGAGATATCATCTCTTTGGCTGAACAATACTTAGAGGCTAATGGCGGCAGGATTACAAAAAGTTGCCTTTTTCACCAATACCCCTAAATCAAGGCACTCTATCGAAATCAATAGAGCACTGTCACAGACAAAACAGAAACATTACATGCTTCAAATGTGAAAGAGAGGGTCATGTGGCCAGATATTGTCGATATTAGACTAAGAAAAGATACGGGGCTGCTGCAATGGCACATGGTGATCAAAATAGAAATTTCTAAGAGACACTGGTTGCGAGTTAGCAGTAGCTAGAAAGAAGATCAAAATGTTGAATAAAAATTGTGTCATGATAGCAATAGATGGTCGGGCCAGGTTGGTAACCATGGCAAACATAGACATTGACACACCTTATTATAAGGGTGAAATAGAAGCTATTGGATTAGAGTCAGCAGTTTGTGACTTAGTCATGGTCAATATTCATGGTATACTTGATAAGCCAAATGAGAAGTGGGTTAGCCGAGAAGAAACAAACATAGCTGTTGTTGTTACTAGAGCACAGGCAGAAAAGAAGAAGAAAGCAATGAAACCTGTCGCAGTTTGCTAGAAAAAATAAGATCATGAAAACAAAAGTGGTAACAAATTTAGATATGGTGCCGATCAATTACAAAGTTACTTTCATGTGTTATTTAATAGTTGTTTAAGCATGGGATATTTTCCTGAGCAATGGAGTCAGCGTTTAGTTGTTCCAATCCATAAGTCTGGTGATATAAATGAACCAGGAAACTACCGTGGAATCACATTACTTAGTACATTAGGCAAATTGTTTACCCGAATTTCGAACAATAAACTCGATAGTTGGGCTAAAAAAATTCTATATATGTTGAGGCTCAGGCAGGTTTTAGGAAAGGTATGGGTACAACTGATAATGTTTTAGTTCTTAATGGGTTTATTAAACATTGTTTAAATAATAAGGAATATTTCTGGTACAAACTTTTGCAATGTGGTGTAAGTGGAAATATATTAAATGTTATAAAGTCAATATATAGCAATGTTAAGTCCCAAATGAAATGTAATAATGATTTAAGTGATGCGTTTTACTGTAATTTAAGCGTTCGTCAAGGTGAAAGTGTCTCACCGTTTCTTTTTAGTATGTATTTAAATGATTTAGAGCAAATGTATAATGATAGAGGTATAGAAGGTATTGATGTTGGAATGATAAATATAGGTTTGTTGTTATACGCCGATGATAATACTTTATTCGCGAAAAGTGCAGATGAATTGCAACATTCTCTAAATGTTTTATAAGAATACTGTAATAGATGGAAATTAACAGTTAATACGAGAAAAACTAAAGTCATGGTGTTCAGAAAAGCAGGTAGATTACCTCAGAATTTACGGTTCTTGTATAATGACCAGGAGTTAGAAATTGTATCACGTTTTAAATATTTACATTGTAGGTGTTTTATTTACGTCAGGTGGTTCATATATTCAGCATGATAAGTTGTAAGCTGGGCAGGCTTTAAAAGCTATTTTTAAGATGAATAAATATTTACATAAATTTACAGATCTATTACCCAAACATACACTTGATTTATTTGTTAAGTTAATTATGCCAAGTTTAATGTATTCCTCAGAGGTTCTGGGTTTTTATAAAGCGCCTTAGGTAGAAAGAACATATTTAAGTGTTTTGTAAAAGATTGTTAAGTGTTAAAGGCATCTACCCAAACTGATTTTGTATATGGCGAGCTTGGTAGACAAAGTTTGATATCATATAGAATGTTTAGTGTTATAAAATATTGGTTAAAATTATGTACATGTACATAATCAAAATATATTAGAAATACTTTTTTTGATGTTAAACAATGACGCAGTTAACGAACCAAATGTAACTAACTGGATGACTTATGTATAAAACTAGGTTTTGAACATGTATGGTTAAACCAAGGTGTTGAAAATAAAGAACTCTTTAATTGATATTAAAGCAAAGAATAAAAGATATATGGCTGATTGATTTAAATAACAGATTAGATGCCTCGACTAGAGCACTGTTTTTTTAGAACAATAGTTAGTTTTAATTTTAGCAAATATCTTGATGCTATAAATATCCGTAAGTACAGAATAGCTTTAGCACGTTTACGCATGTCATCTCATAGATTAGCCGTAGAATCTGGAAGGTGGAGAAAACAAGAATGTTTTCCTTTTATTGAACGACTTTGCCATATATGTAACATATTAGAAGATAAATATCATTTTGTACTTGTATGTGATATGTTTAAAGAACTTCGTACAAAATATATCAAGAGATACTATTGGAATCACCATAGTAATTTTAAATTTATTGCTCTTATGACTTCAGAAAATGTAACCGATATTCGTAAGTATTACTCGTATCATGCTTTTATTAAACGTCAGCAACAGATCGATTCAATGTAGATTGCCAATTTTACATGTAGTTATATCTTAGCATAATTTTATGTTTAATGCTTACTAAGACAAAAATACTTTTAAAAACGAATTGCTTTACATTTTACCTTAAATATTATAACCCGCTTTTGATATTTACTCTTATTGTCAAGTTGTCAAGTATTAACGCATCTAAAATGAAAACGATGACTCGAGATAGTATAAATAGACACATATATATCATTTTATAAGTTTAACTTTTTGGTCAACAAATTGCTTTATGTTATATGCTTAATATTGAGTTCTTTGATGATAACCTAGTCATAGATATCTTCTTAAAATGGTTCCGTTGATAGAGGCTCCTAATATTTCTGTTTATTATGCTGCTGTTATGTACAGACCACCATCAGATGCTCTTTATTTTCGTTTTTGTATTTCGATAGGGCATATATATGTGTGTAGTGAATGTATCAATTTTAGCACTATATATCATTTGTGGATAGTGCCCCTTTTTTAAAAGGCAAAATCCTTAAATGATATTAACATACTATCTGGGAGCATCCAACTTCGTTAACCATATTATTATATAGAAATTAATATGTTTTGTCTTATTGTAATATTTGCATTATTCTGCCTCTCCCAAGCGAGATGTCATGTGAAACCACGCTTCGTTTATATCTTGTTTACTGAAACTTTTTGGTTTGGTAATTTTATAAGACACTTAACGTGAGCAACTTTCAAATGTATCAGGTACATTCCCATTTACCAAAAACTAGTTTCCAGTGAATACACATGCCATCTCGACTTCTTGTCACGTATTGCTATGTTTCTGCTTTTTGTATATGAATATATTGATGCTTTGTCAATGGCTCTTTTTAGGGCTTTAGTACAAAATAAAAGTTCTTTTTCTTCTTCTTATTCTATGAAGTAGAAAAAGATGTGTTGTTTAGAATATTTGAGACGGTGAAAGGTAATTTGGTAAGTCTGAAACAAAACAAATATTTGTTCCTTGTAAATATGATAAAAGAGTTATGTCATTAGCTCATGAGTCTAAAGTTGGTGGGCATTTGTCTGTACGCAAGACTTTAGACAAGATACAGTATAGTTTTCACTGGT